ATTTCGAAACTCGTACATAAAAAGCTCAAAAACGCATATTTCTACTATTGTAGGATATGATTTTTCTAATACATTTATGTAAAAGTTAATTAGAGCACTGTAGTGAAATTTTTTTTATTATCATTAAGAAAGTGATACGATCGATCGGTAAAGTTGCATTACTGCATCAGTTATTTTGCATATTGCAAAAGCTAGAAGGTTAAATAGATTTTGTTAAGTAATTTAATCAATAAAATTGTACTGATTAAAGAAGGACACTCGCTTACGGGTAGTCCAATTATATTATAATACATATGAATAATAATTAATGATAATCGCTTATACAAAACAAAAAATTGTGTAAAGACATTGTTTCCAAAATAGTATCGTAATAAAATAAATAACTAAATAAAAATAAGAAATGCATTTATTTACTCCGAATGGCAAATGGATTTTATGTTTCGCTTTTTCGTGGCAGAAATACACTTGGAGGTTTACCATTGTCTATCGAGGCGAGCACAATTAGAAAAAAGATAATTTTATTGTTTTTTTTTTATTGTATTGCTGGACCCAAGCAGCCTTTAGTTGGCTTCAGACACATTTCCTTACCAACATTAAAAAATATAGCTAAAAATATTTTTTTTTGCATCTTCCCATTTTTCTTTACAAAGTTATTTACCCAATAGGCAAAGCAGGATCTCTATCGTGGATTTCGCAAAGTTCACTGAAATTCAAATCTGTGGTAAAGTGTGTACATTAGAGTGATCCGAAAAAAGTAAAGTAGGGGTCGCTCAAAGCTCTCAAAGTTGTCGATGTATTTTATATGAGAAAAAAATATTTTTTTGTAGAAATGTTATAGAATTCTTGACAATCAATATTTTTTGATCGGAAAACTTTATTTTTCTTCAGGAGGCTTTTTATAATACCCAATTGTTTATTTATTCGATATCAATTATTTTTATAGGTCCCTAAAAACCTCCAAAAATGCAATGGGGGGGTCCAATAAAAAAATCGGTAGTATAAAAAAAATGGTAAAATGAACAATTGGGTACTGTTACTCGAAGTCTCCTGAAGAGAATAAGAGTTTTCCGGCAGAAAAAATTTTGATTTGCAAGAACTCTAGACCATTTCCACGAAACATGATTTTTCCCCATATAAAATACATGGGAAACTTTGAGCGCTTTGTGTGACCTCTAAATATTTTTGATTTTAAAATAAAATAAAAAACAGGGGTATACTTTTTTCCGATTTAGCAATCATCAGCAAATCCACATAAATTTTTTTTTTTTAACACCCTAATGTATGTATGTACATATTCAGTTGGCATATGCGCTCAACCTGCTCTTCACTAATTTTGTTCCAACAAACCATGTTGTGATAAACGGAAGACAAGGACGTACGTAAGCTCTAAGAACCAGTCGTAGCGCAGTACATGCCACTGCAATTGTGTAGAGAATTTCTTCCTCTGCAATGTAGTGTTTTTATCTTTTTGATTTGACGCAATCAAAGTTCTTGGCGTTCAGTTGGACAAAATTTAATTTAATATACATACATATTTATTCAAGACATTTTTCTGAATCGCTTGGCATATTTTTCTGGGCCGTTCGATTTTTTGGAATGTCCACATCACGGCAGTTTGACTAGACTAAAAATTAAACACAAATTTTCTTGAATATTTCTTTGCAATTATGCTTTTTATTTTACTTATATCTACGCAATTACTTTTTTCCTTTTTTTTTTTATTTTACCGTATCATCTAAACTTTATTAAGTTTAGTTGTTAAATAATAAATAAGGATTGATTTTTTAGCGCAATGATACTTATGTATATGTTTTTCTGTATGCATTATACATACGTATACTTATGTGTTTGCTTTTATACAAATACAGTTCTACGATTTACATAGCTACATATTAGGATATCTCTGTAACATTTGTGTCAGTGCGGCCTTGCTGGCGTTCATGTTGGGCACAATATTTACATAGATATTATAGATTCATACATATATGATTTAGATTCGGTCAATCGTGTGAATTTGCGTTTTTTTTTTTAGTTTTTGTTTTTGGGTATATTCGTTTCTTTATATTTTTTTTTTTGTATTTTTTTTTGTAGAATAGTTGTGTGTATGTTCAACTAATTAAAAACGCATTGATTAAGAAAGTAGGTTTAGTATGTTTTTTTTTTTTTAATTGTGTTTTTTTACGCTTAGGCTAGAACTTAAATTACGTTAACTTAATACTACTTTCATAATCAGCTCAACATGAATCTATATTTTAAGCGAAAATATTTTTCGATTTAAAAATTTATACAAAAATCCACGTACGTAGAATAAAGAAAATGCCAGACTCTGAAACGCATTTGAGTTTCTATAAAATCGCACTTTTTTTAATATGCAAAGAACATATGCAGGCGTTGTTTGTTTTGTAATATACATATATAAGTAGGCGTATTTAGTATTTGTGTATGCAGCTAAGAGGAGAAAGAACATAACTTATCGCTTAATAGAAAAATTATCCCGCTATACAAGGCTACCTAAGAACTTAATTTACAATGTATCTTTCAATTTTAAACTAGTGTGTACGGTAATTGTATGAAAAACTCCGTGTAGACTAAGATGTGCATACATACTAACTAATAAACATACAAAAACAAAATTCGAATAATCTATATGTATTTTGCTTTCATTTAGCTATTACATAAGTAAACTATTTCAATTTGTATTTAGGTTTTGAGTTTTGTAGCTGTAATAGGAAACAAAAACGCAGTTACATTGGTTATTTATTAATTTGTATTTGTTGGTGTTTTCCTCTTCATCTTACATAAATACGTTTTATAATTTATCCCGTAAAAGGAGAAAAAATTGGATTTACATGTGTCGGTGTTTTTATATTTGTATGTGTTTTGCTGGAAGGAACTTAAATGTGAAAAAGCAAGATTTGTACATTTTCAATAACAGTCAGGGAAAAATAAAATATGTATATAAAAACAAAAATACAAAATTTGTAAGAAATAAATGTTTTTACCCTTGCGCTGCACTATTTTTAGGAGATGAGTACGAATATACGGCTCATTTCTATAATCATTTGCAAATTTTGCTTATAAAGAAGTTTAGGCAGAAGAGAAATAAAAAACATTTTTTGTTTGTCTTTTGGAAAGTACATAATTGCAAAATATTCAAAATAGCTCAAAGTGTTGCTAATATTTTAAGGTTATTCATTTTCATGATGGCAGTTATGAGTTTTTGGTGTTTACTTTTTAATTATTTCATTGTTTTATTTCACCTATGTAGGTATTTATTGTAATTTACTGTGTTCACATAAACTGTTTGGTTCAGTATACAGTGGTGGAGATATAATTAGGGACACTCACTTCTTAACAAGTTTTGAGCTTTTTTAATTTGACAAAAATATAGTTTATACCACAACGAATAAGATTTATGTATAAAAATTCGTCAAAATCCAACAAAATTTCAAACTTTTTAATCAGAACCTCTAGAAAAAATTCGGGTTTGTATGTAGTTTTTTTTAACCCATTAATATTTAGTATAATTGTGCAAAATTCAAGCAGCAAAAGAGTTCGCATTGATTTTTGAGATTCTTTTTGCTGACGGTGGTACGCACTTTCTTCCATACACAGTATGGTCGAAAATGAGCAACGTCGTCATTATTAAAATCCTATCTTTACCCGCTTGAAACTTGCATTGCATAACCGAATTTATGCTAGAAATTCTGATTAAAAAGTGTGGCATAAAATACATTTTTGTAAAAAAATTAATTAATAATAAATAAAGAAAAAACTAAATGGTCAAAACGTGTAAAGAAGTAGTATCCCTAATTACGTGGCAACAACAAATGTAATTCAGTTGATTGTAATACCATGTTAATTGTTTTATTTTTTTTCCTTTTTGTGTTTTCCCTTTATTTGCTTTTGTACCGTATCTATTTTTTGGTAGCGCAGTTTCTTTAACTGCTAGTTTAATACATTAGGGTTGTGTTCGAGCTAAGCAATAATTGCATTAATGTTACAGCCATGTTTCACATAGATAAATACACACATCAGCTGCATACTTTAAATTTTCAAATGACCCTAAAAATCTGGAATTTTGACCAAAAACCTGGTCTTGTCATAATCTCATTTTGGTTGTTGATGTGTCCGTCCGACAGGGTTTGTTTTCAAAGAAGTAAAAAAAATTTAAATTCATGCGAGTCTAGGCTATGTCTTTTGCTTTTTGATTTGTGACCACTAGGGGAAATTGAGAAAGCAAAAAAAAAACAGTTCGCTTGGAAAAATTTAAACTTGCAACAATTTGCCAGTAAGAAAAACTGGGTGCATTCCAAAACGTCAAAATGCAAAGCATCAGCCTCTTTTATTTCCAAACCGCACTAGAAAAATAAGTCTAACATGCGTGGACGCGCACATTTGGCATTACAAGCTGCTGAGGTTTTAGAAATAAAAGAGACTAATGCTTTGTAATATGACGTTTTGGAATGCAGCCACTCTTAATGGCTTGCTGCTGGGTGCAATTGACACTAATAAACGCATTGTTTGCGCGACTTTTATACCAGGTAAAAATTGATAAAATAAGTACTTTTAAGTACACTACCGGACAAAAGTATTGACACAGAGAATTTTCCGCAATTCATGGAAAGTTTTTTTACTCTAATTTCTTTTCGCAAATTTTTTATAAAAATATAGTTCATAAATACTACAAGAAAAAATATAAAAATAACTCATTCAATAAATTTGCATACTAATTTGCAACTTTTCAATGAGATTTTGTAGAAAAATACTCAGAATTCGGTTTTATAGCCCATTCAATTTCAGTACCAAATAGTGCAAGTTTCAAGTTGCTAAAAATTCGCGTTGATTTTTTGGCAATTTTTTTTAACGCAGTTTCTTCCATATTAAAATCAACGCGATTTTTTAGCCGCTTAAAACTTGCGCTTAGACTAAAATTGGATGGGCTATAAAACCACATACCCAAAAATATTCTAAAGAAAATTCGCTATTTTTTTTTTTTATATGGAGAAAATTCATTGGTAGGTCCTAGCTACATACCTCAGACTTGCACTTTATTGTACTAAAATTGAATAGGCTAAAAAAAACTGCATACCCAATATTTTTCTAAAGAGTGTAATTAAAAAGTGCAATATTTTATTTAAATTTGGCAGAACTGTCTTTAATTGTGCACAAGGTTTTAAACTCTGATTTTTGGTGTTTTTGTTTTAGAACTAAAAATTATTTATAAAGGCTTATAATGAATGGTTTATCCATAACTCATCCCAGCTTACAAAAAGTGTATTCGTGAAAGAAATGGGGATGGATTTCCAACTATGATGACGGCTTTGAACGCAACTATAAACAAACCGTCAGCTGTTGTAAAGTTTTTAGGTCTGTTCATGTAAAAATTGTCGAGTAAGTTACCAGCAAAATAATTTCCGAGAATTCGCTCTTACAGAGAAAAACATCCAGAAAAGTACGTGAACGCAAAACCCGTAACAATATGCAAGTTTCATGAACAACTGATAATTTGTTGTTTATTCGCAGAAATTACCTCATAGAATAGTATTTCATGCTGGCAAATTTTTGCAAGTTAACCCTCTACTGCCAGCAAAATAACCCAAACACGGTGTCACAAATTTGGCAATTTTTTCTCACCTAACGAGTGGCTTAAAAATATATGTGTTAAACTAATGTTAAATGCATTGAGAAGTTAAGCTGATGCCAGATAAAACTTTGTAGCTTTGCGTGACATTTATAACTTTGCCAGCAAAGCGCCAGACGCAAAAGGTATGCCACAATGAACGCCAAGAAAACAATGTTGTACCGCTTTTTTACTCATCAAAGTTGCTGTGGATTTTAATTATTTTGATTTAAAATTATCAGCAATGTAATTAAGTTTTATGTTTCTGCATGAAAACCCGAATTTGGACGAAACAAAATAAATATTAAACCGGCTGATTGTCAAAGCGCGCAAAAAGATGGGAGTTGACCATCTTTTCGCTTCGCGCTGCCGCTTCAACGATTTATGTGGCATGCTTTGTGCATTTTCATACAATTCATCTTATCTGTCAAAGCGAATCTGTCACGTAAAGCGAAGCAAAAGTTTTATGTGACATCAGCTTTAACTACGAATAACGGAACTTAATTGGTTTGCCTATGGTTAGATGGCACTTGAATATAACCCCACCTTTGTGTGCGTGGTCGAAATAGAAAATAAACGTTCTATTCGTATGCGCGGAACTCAACTGCAAAAAAGAAGAACCAATGAAAAATGCAAGTTGTTCTTGTAAAACAAAAAATATTTTCTTAATTCACACATCCTCTTTGTGCCAATCAATAATTGTTTTACCGCTATCAAACTATTTTCTATTCTTCTCATACAATTTTCCATGTCGTCACCTGAAATGCAAAAAGACGTAACAACAACGCAACAGAAATAGAAAGTCGTGACTAATACTTTTATTTTATTTTTTTATAAAATGATGTGGGGAGTTGTAATTCGATGAAATCCATCATATAAATCAAAAAGTTATAACTGCATTTCAGCGATGATGTTTGTTACGTCTTTTGCATTTCAGGTGACGATATATTTCTTTGCAAAATAAAATTTAAAATAAATGACTTGGAGAAGTTTTTTTCTCGATATAGGTTTATTAATACGGAAATAATGGTTGTTCAGAGTTAAAACTTTTTTATGCATCTCCTTCATAATTCATGCAGTAGAGGGTTAACACTTTGCGTTCACGTACTTTTTGGAAATTTTTCCCAATGACAGCAAATTCTTAGAAATTAAGTTACTGGAGAGTTGCTGGCAAGTTACTGGATAATTTTTACATGAACAAACCCAAGCACCTAACAAGAACTCCGCCAAAAGACCTTCTATGGTACATACGTCCAACAAAAGCTCTACTGGAAGCTCTTCTATGGGCAGGAAGTTTTCAAGTTGCGCTCCACTCCATAGAAAGGAGATTCTCAGGAAGACCTATAAAAAAAAAGCTTTTAGCTTCTGAAAATTCTGCATGCTCTAACCTACAAAAACCATTTTCGTGACAAAAGTCAATTTTTTGAGGGTCATTTGAAAATTCTAATAAAGATTTTTTTTTTAGTTTGCCTTAACCGACAGTTTGATGTATGTATGCCTCGCGAAAATTATATTTTTCCTGTGACATACATAGTGTAATCTGCTGAAATATTATAACAATAGCGCAGCAGAAAGAAACTAAATTTATATATCCTTTATATTCTTGTGATGAGCAAACGCACGATATTGCCTGAGTCGCCAAAAGCTTCCGGCTATGTGGAAGATTCCCTTTCATAAAAAGTAACACTGCCACAATTATTGAAACGCGAACTAACTTCTCATCTGTATTTATTTAAGAATTGCTGTGATTTGTTATATTCGGTTAGTTTTTTTGTTCTGTTGTTGTCTTTTGTCTTTTGTGGTAATAATTTCACTACGTAGTAAATTCGTATTTATAAATATTTTAACAAAATGGTAACTATCTATATATGTATTGTATGGAAATGCAATTTTCATTGAACCATAATGTTCAAGTAAAAATATTTGGGTTAAGGTCTCGTTAATGCATACTTGCATATCTGTGGATTTATGGCGAAACAATCCAATTTCATTTATGGCTTGCCAATACAAAAGACACTAAATGATAATTCGAAATTTCATAGCAGAAGCAAATTACTTGTTAAGATGCTTTCAGAACTTTAGCATTAAAAATACATAAATAAACACATATTTAAAGAAAAGATGATGATGAGAAGATTTTTGGAAATTTCAGATTACTAATTTTCGACTCTAAGCTCACTGTACGACAACGTATTTAAAAAAAAGAAGAGTTATTTACAGTTACTGGCAGGTTAATAATGTCATGCTTCAAAGAAAATATTAGGTGTTTTAGCATTTAGCACACGAAAAATGCCAAAACTCCAATTTTAACGCACGCGTGGCCAAGGATGTGTATTGTAAAGCCAAACCTCTACAGATATGCAGTCTTCTATTGCTTTGAAATATAATATTGAGGAACAACTGTTGTACAATAGAATTAAATGAGAGAAGTTAAAATTATACCTAGATTCGACTGTAGATGAATCAGTAGTTACACAAGAAAAATAAAATATGAATTGTAAGAAAACAAATTTGGTCTGAATTTTGGCAACATAAAACAAACCAATATATTAAACAAGAAAGTACACATAAAAAACAAATTATCATTTAAGTTTATATTACTTTTAAAATGTGTATAAAACAAATTTAATTTATTTCTTTTTAAGAAAATTTGTTTGTATTGCAATTTGAGCGCAGTTAGAAAATTACACATAGAGAATGAATTATAATGCCGGATTTCCATCGGGCATTAAATGACAAATTTGAGCATTAAAAGCAGTTAAAAATAGGTCATTAAGTCCGTTCCTATTTGCCATTTGTGGAAATTCGGCAGTATTTATTCCCAGTAAACAAGAAACGATTCTTGTTTCATGCTTGCATATCTTCTCTACTATCGTTAACTCTGTATCCTTCCAAACCGAGCTAATTAATAAAGTAGTTGATTTAAAATTTCGAAAAAGAGAAGGAAAGAAAAACCACATAAGGCGTGCGCACAAGAAGATTGACGTTCTTTCTTTTTACTAGAAATTTGTGGACCTCGACGGCTAAATTTTTTTCAGTTATTTTTTCCATCAAAGTATTATAGGTTCTAAATATGAACCATATCGGACCATAAATACGGGTTTTCTCAAATATTCCGACATCTGCACCACCCTACGGATTAATTAATCGTTCATGTTGCATTGTTATCGAGCTCTGAGCCATGTTTGAAGTTAAAAGTATCTAGCTCATCGTGAAGTTGTTTAAAAATTTATAGGAAGATTTTATTACACACAGGTGAAACTTAATAAAAGCTTGTAATAAAACAAAGGTAACATAATTTTTAGAAAAAAAACCTACTTTTTTCAAATAAATTTTCGTTGTGCACACTCCTTTCCCCAAATTTACGTTTGTTTAACCCTAGTATTCATTTTTACTTTAAAAGTACTTAAACATACATATTTCAAATTATTATCAAATGCGTTTCCCTGCTTTTACTTATGTTAATTGTATGTAAGTCTGGGTGAATGCAGAATACACAAAGAACAAACAAGTTTTTTGTAATCTCCGTATATCCTACGCTGGCCTGACTTTCTTTATGCGTTTTTACCCCGTGATTTAGTTTTGGGTCTCCTTTTTCATTGCTTCAAATACATTTTTTATACAAATACATATGTTTATACAAATACTATATTTTAGAATTTTGGGTTGCAACACAAGTAACAAATTGAATTAAAGTTTTTTTCTTGATATATGTATGTAGCAGCATGTTTGCCGGCAAAGCCCTATTAAAAACGCTTTCGAAGTACAAGGCGAGCAGATTGTAATTTAATGTTTTAGTTCAAATAGAACTTTAAATATTTTTTGAAAAAGGAAAAGCATGTTTTTTTAAATACATAAGGTATAATATATATAATTTTATTTGCATATTTTTATATTCAATTTTAGATAGTCTATAAAAAACTTTCAACTCAAAAGAAAATAACGCCAATCTCAAAACCTAATATTAAAAAAAAATTAAAATTTAATAGTTCAGAAGTATTTTAATAATATATGTAGACGCTTGTTTGATATTACTTACTTTCCTCCTAGCACTAACGCTAGCAGTATTTAGTTTCCCCAAAACTCGGCAACGTTCACTAAACACCTATACTAGCCCGCCTTGATAAAGAAAATTACTCTTTTTTTTATCACAGACTGTACTTACTCGCACGCTTCACAGAACTTAATTTCAATTGAAAATGACATAAACCCAAACGAATACCTATTTTATGTTATAATAAACTGACAAATAGTAAACAAATAAAAGAGTGTATACGAAAACGAAACCAAAAAAAAAAACTAAGTGTTGATTTTGGTTTAATATTCGCTACTTTTACCACGGCAATATAGAACCTAAACATTTAGGTGTCAGTTGCTTTGGTTTCCATTTTGAGAGCCTGCAATCGCTTTTCACAGTACAAACTGCCGATAGGCTTCGCCAAAGACGCCGCCAGGCTTTTTGTTATTGTTAGCGTTGTATTGCTGGTGGTTGTATTTGATGGCTGGTTACTGGTAGGAGCATTATTCTCAACCGTTACCGGGTTAAGCGCAACTTCGCTGTCAGGTATTACACCAGTATTGCTGTTATTGGCTATGGCACTGCCACAACCACTGTCATCTATGTTGGTGTATTGCATTTGTGGCATTATGCCCGCTGTATACGATTGCCGCATGATTGGCAATCTATAATGGAAGTTCGTTTTGGTGATTGCCGTCGTCGTGGATGTAGCTGTGAGTGAGTTTTCTGTTTGCCTCGAAGCTGGTCCCGTCGCTGATGCGCTTTCCGTTGGCTTCCCTCTACATCCTCCGACATCTTCCGCCCGGCCACCACGCCGCAAAAGCACACTTGTTGTTGTTGTTACGGCTGCAGATGACGCGGGCATTCTCGTAGCAGCAGCAGCAGCAGCAGCGACAGTACTTTCCGTTTGCCAATTCGTACTATTGCGGCTACGATCTGTAATGGGAAATTTATTTTTCGTACAACTCAAGTCCAATTCAAGCGTATAAAAACGTCCGCGTGTATACTTTTTGTTTTGGTTCTCTAGTATGACCGTGCCACCGGTTTTGCTGTCATCACTGCCGACTCCGCCACCGACAACGCACCCGCCCGTGCTGATGCTGCCGCTGCTCAAACTCGTGGTTATGTTCGCATTCAAGTTCGTGCTACTACTGCTGGTGTTCACATTGGCATTTGTGTTGTTGTTGTTATTTGTAGTGGTACGTTGCACGTTGATGTCCGCGAATCCACTGACCATCGTTGGCTGTCGACTTACTGTACAAATACTGCTGCGATTACTGCTGTTTGTCGTTTGTTCACTGCTGCAATTGCTGCTGCTAATCGTCGGCTGACTGGAGGCTGTGCTTGTGCATGTTGTATTGCAAGAGAAGGCTGCAGTCGTCGAGGAGGCGGGGGTAATGGAGCAACGTTGAATGGCAACGCCGTCAACTTCATCAAAGTCTTCATTCGCTAACACCAATGGTGCTGCTATCCACTGTGTGGAACGATTGGTATCTTCGTAATCGCTTTCATCACTGTCGGAGGTTATGCGCAGTTCGTTTCTAAAATCACGCCCTAACGATGAAGCAACACTCACCGACGCTGATGTGTTGCCCAGGCCTCTAGCCTTCGATCGCGCAGCTATTTTATCCGCTTGCGTATTATCACCTTTTAATTTTGATTTTGTGCTTGCATCAAGCTTTGTTGAGCCATCTTGTAATAGATTTTCACAGCTTGCCTCATAAACACTAGCTAGTGGTTGTAATTTGCCACCGAGATGCGCTACCGTCTTATGAGTAGGCAAGTAACTTAGTCCCGCTAATGCCTGCGCCGTCAATGGCTTAAACGGACCACCGCTTGCCTCACCATGTCCACATCCAACAGCGGCACCAATTCCCATTGTAGAGGACGTGCTACTCATAACCTTCACGGAACGGATACTTACGCTCTGCTCTTGTGCTCTTTCGGCTTCTATTCGTTCCGATAACGCCCCAAAGTCCTTATCCTTATTTAATAGTATATCTGCCGGTTCTACGTAAAACGAGTCGAAATTTAAATCAAGGAACAGTTCTTGTAAAAAACGACGTGCATTCATCCTATAACTGCTGCGTCCCAATGATTTGCACACCTCTGAATAGAGGCAAATATCTTGAAAAGATGCCGGGTGCTTCTGTTTCAGCTCTAATAACGCCATTTTGGACTGTTTTGCACTGACAGGATTCGCTAAACGTTGCACGTGGAATAGAATATTAGCCGTCAGACGATCTGGCATACTCTCTTCGCTGAGTATACTTTCGGGTGAGTTGAATGAGATGTCAGATAGCTGTATAGTTGAAGAGCTTTGTGCATTTTGCTGTGCTGGCTGTGACCTCTGCAATTGCTGTTGTGTGCCTGGCAATTGCTGAGCGGTTAGCGATTGTTTATTCGCCCTGCGTGCAGAGTGCGACGCCGTTGTTGCCCCAACCAACGTACCGCTGCTTGTATATAGTTCACCACCTGTCGCTAGTGCAGCTCCGGCTGCTGACGTCACTGCAGCTGCTGATATGGCTGCATCACTATCAAGACGTTGCGCATGAGTACGATTGCGTCGAACACGCGAACAATGAAGACAATTATTGCGTCCGTGTTTTGCGCCTAACCACTTTGACCGCTTACTCACAGACGAGACATCAGAGAGCGACGAAATAACTGAAGACTCGTCACCACCACATTCATTGTTGAGAGAATCATTCAGGAACTGCTGGTTTGCAGTAAGCAAATTTATACCCATTAGGTCCTGATCTTGAATGTTGCGAGAGACATAAGTACGCGCGAGGTTGCGTGTGGGGAAGAGATCGAGCAGATTTTTCGGAAGACATATACCTAAAACCAGCAATTAGAATCGTTTAAAAAGGTTTAAAATATGGTTTGTTTGGATAATATATGGATGTCTCTAAAAATATCGGCAATAAAACCAGTATTTTTTGTCGACACAAAATTTGAATATATCTTTCGTATCTATAACTATAACAGCACAGAAGCGTTCAATTGCTAGGATCATGTAGAATTTCAATCTCGTAAAATATCTATATTTTTTTGGGTACACTACCTGCATAGCAAGGACCTTTCGAGTCGTTTTGTGCTAGAAACTTTGGTGCGGCTAATGTCGGCAGTGGCACTTGTTGCAACTCTTCGAAATCCAATCTCCTGAAAAGAATGCATCAATTCAAAGTTCTTTATATACATACATATAAAAATATTAATAGCTTACGGCATGCGCAACGAAGACTGTCTATCCAAACTACGCACTTTTATACGACGCTGTGATTCACCGAAAGAAGATTTTCGAGGTCGCATCACTGATGAACCAAGTGACAAAAATTCAATACGATCGATGATATCGTAAACATCTGTCGCCGATTCGGAGACCATCGGTCGACAGTACTTTCGCAATGAACGCAGCTGTGCGTAACCCTTTATGTCAGCCGGACTGAGAGAGGTATGAAGATATGAAGCACCAACTAAGGAGGTACCACGCAATAAGAGACTTCTTTGTGGCGGCACGTCGATAACTAGATTCGACATACTCGGTATAGGACTCAAGGGGAATTGTTGAAAATCACTGCAAAATTAATTCAAATTCAATAGAGTTTTGCAATGTTAAAAGTCTTATTACGAACGCAAAACAATATGCAAACAAGTGCTCACCCCACAGGCGGTATTCGCATTGTCACCGACTCACAACTACTCACGCCCGATGTATTCGAATCGGTGCACGAGTTGTAACGTACGCGATGCGAGGGATAATGTACCCCCATCGCTCCAATGGCTGTGCCACTAATTAGGCTAATCACATCTGTAGTTTTTGATTCGGACAACGAACGCTGATGTTTACCATGACGCATATATGTACCTTCCGGTAAGGTTTTTGACTTTGCGGCAACCGCTTGCTGTTGCGGCGGTTGGTGTTGCAGTACTTTCGTTGTGCCAACATCATCCCCTGTTTTACTACTTTCCGCAGTAGTATTCGCAGCGTCTGGTGGCTCTGAGCTGGCACTAGCTGCACCGCCATCATGACCAGTTGTGCTACTGCTACTCAATAGTAAATTCCAATAGCTGCCTGTATAGGAACCATCGATTTGATCATCAATGCCCGTGTAATTGTATGGGGGCATGTCCTCGTAATGATGCCGTACCGGTGTGTAAATATTGGACATCCAATCTTCAGGTTGGTGCACTGGCCACACTGTATTGCGATCATGGCGAACACTCAACCAATCTAGATAGATTGAAAAAGAAATATTAGCGAGTAAGTGAAAGAAGAATATGACGTTGAATGGAATAAAAGCAACTTACTTAGTTTGTAAAGTATATTTGCACCATCATTTGTACCGCCAATCAAACCCAATACACTGAAACAGGTGGCACGTATAGAGTACACAACACATTTTGTTGCTAGTATTACCAATTTTTCGTAAATTCTAAAAAGAAAGGCAAAGGAAATCATAAGTACGCAAATAAATATGTATACTGCAAAACAAATACGGCGGAACAAGTTGATCTGCTTGATCTGCTTGAAAAAAATAAAATAAAAATCATCAGATAACTGCAATCGAAATTAAAGACAAATGTTAGTAAAACAGTTGGCGCTAACACTTTTGCAAAGTGCTTGGCCGAGGTGTGTGTCTTTATTTGTAAAAGAGTTTTACACCGCCATCGAACGGCAAATGGATTTTATGAGCTTTGGCAAGGCAGAAATACATACAATCGGAGATTTGCCACAGCCTACCGCGGGGCGACCGGTGTTAGAACAAACTTTTTCTAATGTATGGCATTTTCCTTTCTACCGAAGAATGTGGCCTTCTCAGTGCCCTCTACGGACAAATTCTAAGAAGAGAGCAATAGAGAGCCAACATATTTTTAGGAAAGAAAGCATCATTAGATGTTTCTCGAACCAAGGATAGAGCCCAGGTCCAGTGGTAGTACGCACCTCTAACCACTCGGCTACAGCAGCCGTCATTCACTCCAATACGGTTTTGTTTGAGAAAATATTTTTTATGGACTTTTGTTGGGAATTAAATGAAATGAACACATCAAATGTAAACATGAAAAAAGTTTTTTATTTAATCAACTTCAATAAAAATAAATGCAAAAATACGGGCTCCACATTACAGTTTGTATAGAAAAAATTCACCTCATTCGTTACGAGATAAAAAGCGGAATAAACACGAAAATAAACAAAGTAGTTACTTTCTTTCAATTTTTACCACTTTTCTTCATGATTCTACAAAAATATATTAAAAAGAGGCATCTCAGATGACAAGTGAAGATATAAGTAAAAGAAAAGAAAATGTGTCTGTTCAAGTGAACTGGGGTCTACATTGATCAGATGAAAAAAAGGTTACAAAAATATGCCGATGATCGAGCTTAAACATCAAATCCCCGACTGGCTATGTAATCTATATATATAAAAATTAAGCCGAAAAAAAGTGTGCCGTTGTCCGCGGTAATCTCAGCAACGCGTGTAAGGAACACAATGAAAGTTTCACACATTGTTGGTGTTGCTTTGGCAAAGGTTTCTGTGAAGTTTGGTTGAAATCCGATAACGCGTGTGTGTGCGGTGCGTCGGTTAAGTGAGTGTGTTTTTGCTATTTGCCGCACGTATTTTTTGTACCGCACATAGCATTCATTAGAATTGAATACATTTTGGTCGTGTGTGTCTGGGCCGATTATTATGAAATTTGGTATATATATATATTTTTCCACGGAGAAGGTTAGTATAATATGCTTATTNGTTTCCCTGCTTACCGCTTATTGTAGCCATTCTTCCAGTACTCAATCTCATCCTGTTTCCGCGATTTTATATGATTCAAACCCCGTGAAAGAGAGTAGTAACGTGCCATTAGTAAACGCCCAACATCGCCGAGTGACTTAAGATTCGGCCATGAGCTAACAATCTCTTCAAGATAATACTTGAGGAATAGAAAACACAACATTTTAACACTACGTTCTCAAAGCAACGCCTTTCGTTTAAGTACCTTTTCATGACAAGCCTCTTCGAGCACATCCAATGCTGCTAGCACCACACTACGGTCTGGATCTTTTGTTTGCTGTATTATCAACGGTATACCCCAGACTTCGAAATTGTGTAGACGTGCACGTAATAGCACCGTTAAAAATTGTGTGGCATATAAGCGACCACTACGCGTTTTTGCTGAAGTTAAAGCTTTCGCCAGCACTTTCCGTGTCACCGATTCTAAAGAGTAGTCTAGACCGGAGACGGTTAACTTCACATAGCAGACATAATCTGTGTTGCGAACTAAATTGATTAAGCTGCGAATGGGGTATTTAAAATAAAATGTCGATGTGAATATTGAAATACTCAAAATATCAACAGTTTTGGAAACTTACTGTTCAAATACAGCTGTGTCAGTTAATATTCGAATGCCCTTTTGTGCGCGACACATGCGGCCAATGTATAAAAAATACTGCTGACACATTGTATCCTTCATGTGTTGTGGACTAAATAGGCAATCGTGCACACGATTAGATGTGCTCACCGCTAGTAGTTGTTTGCTAATGTCCGAAAAATAGTCTGTGAGTATGCGTATGCTTTCCATCTGTAAATAAAAGATGGAATATTTTCAAATTTGTTTAAAATATCCAAAAACTTGTATAGGATAGCTAAACCTTAATTTAAAAAAATAAGAGTATAGGCAGATAAATGCGCTATTCATCCGCCAATAGTTTTATTGTGAATTTGTGTTATCAAATAAAAACCTTTATTGATTCTCTTTTACATTGGCATAGTATTTTATCAATTTAATCGGCACTTATTATATAAACTTTACAGTATGTAACGAACAAGGAAAGATGCAAAAGCAGTTTCACTGCCGTAATGTGGACCTGGCGCATTCATTTTTTAACTTTGAATTCCGATTAGAGCTCTAACTGGAAATTCCTTTGGTTTTCATCTCACAAAACTTTCGATGTATAAGGATTTTTTTTTATTATAACATACCATCNTACTTACTGCTCAAATACAGCTGTGTCAGTTAATATTCGAATGCCCTTTTGTGCGCGACANAACTTACTGTTCAAATACAGCTGTGTCAGTTAATATTCGAATGCCCTTTTGTGCGCGACACATGCGGCCAATGTATAAAAAATACTGCTGACACATTGTATCCTTCATGTGTTGTGGACTAAATAGGCAATCGTGCACACGATTAGATGTGCTCACCGCTAGTAGTTGTTTGCTAATGTCCGAAAAATAGTCTGTGAGTATGCGTATGCTTTCCATCTGTAAATAAAAGATGGAATATTTTCAAATTTGTTTAAAATATCCAAAAACTTGTATAGGATAGCTAAACCTTAATTTAAAAAAATAAGAGTATAGGCAGATAAATGCGCTATTCATCCGCCAATAGTTTTATTGTGAATTTGTGTTATCAAATAAAAGCCTTTATTGATTCTCTTTTACATTGGCATAGTATTTTATCAATTCAATCGGCACGTATTATATAAACTTTACAGTATGTAACGAACAAGGAAAGATGCAAAAGCAGTTTCACTGCCGTAATGTGGACCTGGCGCATTCATTTTTTAACTTTGAATTCCGATTAGAGCTCTAACTGGAAATTCCTTTGGTTTTCATCTCACAAAACTTTCGATGTATAAGGATTTTTTTTTATTATAACATACCATCGGGCTGGCCAAAAGCCAATCAATGAAATCCAGTCCCGCCACCACGAATGCTGGTATTGATCTTCCATGTACCAAATGCTGATGTGAAAAACGGTTTTTGCTCGGTTTGTAATAGTCCAAAAGAGATTTCAAAAAATTATTGACCGTGTCATCAACGCGACGCATTAAATTTGACTGTAAAAGATTAAGTATTAATGTAGAATCTCATTTTACCAATAATTTAGTAGCTACTTACGCGCAATATAGTGATCACAATTTCCCAATCCCAACCATTGCCATCAGGCGAGGCCAATACATTCGAGTCGCGTATTAATTTTGCCACCCGCTGGTTTTCAAAGAAAGGTAACAGTTTTCGCTTAAACCGAAAGCTTGAACGTCGCGATGAAGATGGCTGCGTGTTCGACTCATCACTCGAAGACACCGAGTCCAGGCGCTGTCGATCGACTGTGAAGAGACCACCGCCAGCAGCGATGCCCAGTGTACCACCGCTGGTAAGTTGACCGGGCAGTGCAGATGATTGTAATGCATTGCCACTGAACGAACGCGCATGATCTTGCGCGTTGATTTCACGGCGAAACAGTCGGGTCTGTATTAACGCTAAAATTGAGAATGGATATGTTGCATTAGATTGTAATCCTAATGTGTATCATCAGATTATGATGGTCGACTTACAGCCCCCTTGTATAATACTATCCAAAAATAAACTACATGAAGCAGGACGATTACGTAGCATTTTTTGGTAATTTTGTAAAGCTGATATTGCGGCGGTTGCATTTTGATTACCCTGAGTTGCATGTGAAATTAGTGTAGGTAATGCCGGGCTGGTACTACAAATATCAGCCGGCAAATGTGTATGCATTAAATGCAAAATTTTACCTACAAACAATTGAAGGAAAGTGTAATTAGATGGTAGACAAGGAAAACGATACTACTATTTTCAAAGCGGATGTATACATACAACAACAACAACAACATACCAATTAAAACAGTTGCTCGCACTGACAGATGTGTATCGCTCGACCTAATCACCTCGACGAGGGCATTTAACAGTCCAGTCTCTAGAAAACAGTATAGCAATAAAGACAAATGTTGTTCGCAAACATTTGGCGCACGTGATGCTAAACTTGGAAGTATAAAACGGCCCTCCATGGCAACAAATCCATTTTCAAGCAACCATGCATCCTGAAAATGAGAAAATTTTATAAGTTTATATGTGTGTATGTACGTAAATAAAAATCATTCTACACATTTACGCTTGGAATAAAATCGCCTGAAAAGGTTGGACCCATTCGGTTGATTCTTTTTTTATTGTAATTATGAGGAAAGGTTTTCAGGATCCGATTTAATTGGTATTCAAAAACGGAAGATAAACATTTTATAAACGAATTTACCTGGCAGGTGTCGCTTATATCGAATTATTTACCTTTCGATAAAAAGTACACAGTTTAGAGCGGGCGGTAATCGGAGAAAAAGTTTTCTCACCTGAACTGCCACTAATGAATTCTATTCGGCAGCAAGAAGTCTCGATCAAAGATCAGCCAGGCAGCTCTTAAAGCTTTACCCTCACAAAAACAAATAAAAAATCTGAGGGTAATTGCGAAACTGCAATTGCAAGGAAAGGAGATATGAACGGAGAACTATGCCCTTAAGTGTAAACAGAAATGAAGAAGAGGCTAGGTGTGGGAAGAAAATGTGCCACTGACCAGATTTAAGTAGAAGACGATTACGCATACATGCAAACAATTTTTGCAAACCTTTGCAGACATCTGAAGTAAGGAAATAATAGCATCGGCAAGGTTCAAAGGGTAAACAAATTGATAATGAGATCATCCAAAGAAATTGGGGTACCTTTAGATGGTAACACAACTGGCCTTTTTTGACCTACACACGTGTGGAGGGGCGTTCGCTCTCCAATGAATTCAACCTAGCCTTAGGCTATTTACTTTACAAAACTTTTTGGCTTTTCAACGCCATTTCAAATGCTTAAGAAGCGTCGCTAAGCACGTTGGGTATTTGCTAGTTATACATATCTATGTTCGTATGTAAAAGTAGCTTATGTCGGGAAGCTGGCTTTAGTATAATGCACCATTCCCTTTATTCTTAAAACGGCGACAAGGAATTTTTTGATGAGACTTATTAAGAATATTGACTGGCTAGTATCGGAACTGTTTCTTGCATGTTGCACAAAAGTTTTTCAACGGCTCGGCGCCAGTGAGTCATTCGCAAGTGTAAAGCCAGCCTTCAGACATAAGCTACTATTCCATACGAAGACAGATATATGTAAGTATTTTCTCATTTATGGATTACCTGAAAATTGGATGGATCGACAGTTTGCAGCGCTATCGTATAATCATCCGTCCAGGGTAGTTGTGGAACATTTAAAAGCTCATAAAGCAAGTCCATTATTGCTTTCTGAAAAGTAAATAAAACCACACATTAAATTGCATGACAGAAATCACAATTAAAAACTAACTAGTACGTAAATATCAGAATGTTGTACTTACTCTAACTTCTGTTTGATTCAGATACAACGTATCCACTATTGCTTTCAAACCTGACGGCTTGCTGGGATTACAGAACTCAATAGTACCTGTCCAGCTACGCAGTACCGACAACAGCGCTAGCCGGCAACTGGTATAACGCAGCTCGCGGGCATCTCTAGAGAAGCGAAATAACAAAAGGAAATAATTAGTGAACACTTTTGTTCTAACTTATGTAAACCAAGCTATTATGCTTACTTATTTTTATCCATGATACCCAAACGGTATGTAAAATCGCAATATGGAGCCGCGAGGCAATCCAGACGCACACCCGATATATTGCGCGTCTGTGGCCATTCCAGCAAGTAGAGTAGAACGCCACACAAACTCTCGGCAATACGTGGATTGTGGCATTCCAGAACATTGCGCGTGATAGCTGTGACGCCGCCGCAAACGATCAGTAAAGTAGGATTCAGCACCGCAAATTCGCATAGAGTTGCCAAACAGGCGCGCAACATATTATCACCATCTTCGATGCCGCTATCGGCGAGTGACACCAAACAACGCACCAGCACCGGATTGATATCAGCCGGAGAAATGGCAAGCATTTTGCGAATCTATGAGAATTGGATGGAAAGATTAAAAAAAAACAATCAAATTTGTCTGCTTTTCTAGCATTTTTACTTACCAATTTTAATGCTTGCACACGTTCATCGTCATTTTTCAGTAGCACATCGATAGAGCGGCATATCAGATGTTGCAGTTGCATCGAATTAAAGATTTTAACATCGCGCGGTGTCACCAGCGCATAACGAATGGCGCGCAAAGCGGCAGCGCGCACTTGCGTAAATGTGTGAATTAGTGAGGCGCTCAGTCTTAAAAATTTTAGAAAAAATGTTAATGTATCAATTGTTAAGGATTGGAATAAAGAAAAATATTTATGCATTAACACGATTGGGATACGATTTGCACCAAATTTTAGGCAAATGCCCAATCGTGTGACACTGCTTTTAGGTTGAATGTAAATAAATTAAAGTGAAACAAAGAACTAAGTTCGATAAAGATTTATTTAATTAGAAGAAGGAATCATTTATTTCTTCAGGTAGTCCTAAAAAACGATCTAAAAGTTTTTAATGCCGCGAAGTCTTATAGCATAGACAGACTTAATTCGGATTAACGGAGCAGGTGATCTGATCAAAATAGTACCCTGAGAGTATTGCGGATTAAGCGTGCCGCGATGTCGTGAGTTCGAATCCCACGATGAAAAATTTTTTCAATAATTTTTTTAGATCCTTCAATTATTACTTTTAATTTCTTTAAATGTAATTAAAGTTGTTTTTTTTTAATAAATAATAATAAAATCAAATAAAAAAAATAGTTTGTTCTGCTACCACGGACAGCAAACTCGCGTGCTTTGCTTGCTTACATGTATGCCCAGAGGGCGTAGAATACAGGGAACATGCAAAACTAGCCTGGACATCTACATATGTAGTATCTACGTCGTCGTCGGCAAGCACACACCATACTAATTCAAATAAGTTCTTATTCAATTTCAATTGAATTCAAGTCTGAATTAGTATGGTGACAGCATTTAGCCCAGTCAAGTTGGCTCAATGAATAGGGGTAAGCTTACACAATAATTCGGTATGAGTATTGCGAACACCATTATGAATGAAATGTCAAAAGTCCCCATCGATCCCACGTCTGCAAAAAAATGTATGCAAGGTTAAAGGTTACATAAATTGCTTTTTTGCATTTTTCAGCCAAATGGTACGGTTTATCATAAAAATAGGTGAGACGAAAGTGTAGATCATACAATTGTCTATAAAAAGTGTTATAGCATTTTCCTTGCTAAGGATTACCATTTCTGAGATATAGCGCTTAAAAATTATAGTAAAAGGTGTATACTCCATAATATGCAAATCATAAATTTGTATAGAAACTTTTTGTATGTATATCCACTTAAGTGCTCATAACTGCTACATTTATTATTCAATTTCGATTAGCAGGGTCTTATTGTATTTATGAAAGATCATGCTTCACTATTTTAGATTCGAAAGCTATAAAAAAAAATTATATGCAATTAAGTGAGTCCACTCTTTTACATCTCAAAAAACCAAAACTTGGGTATATTTCAAAAACTATTATAGTTTACGATATTTTGCCTTCATATTTAGATTCAGTGCAATTTACAATTAGATGAATNTTATATGCAATTAAGTGAGTCCACTCTTTTACATCTCAAAAAACCAAAACTTGGGTATATTTCAAAAACTATTGTAGTTTATGATATTTTGCCTTCATATTTAGATTCAGTGCAATTTACAATTAGATGAATAGTTTTCTCTAATTATTTTTAATTCATATGGCTTTCATCACTTCCAGTGGTACTATTTTTATTGCATGCAATATTATTTAGTTAAACAGTCGTGGAGTAGGCCTACCGGGGAAGAAACGCTAAAAAAAAACACCACTTAAAACACTACCCCACAAGTACAGTGAAAATTGCGCATATTATGGAGAACACCATTTTTTGAATCGCTATATCTCAGGAATGGTAATACTTAGGAAGAAAAATGTTACAACAGTTTTTATAGATAATTGCACAATCTACACTTTTGTCTATGCTATACGGGTAAGGATGGTGTATATCTTAAGTAATGGATGAGCAAAATGATGGTTTGCCAATAATTGCATACAGTTCGCTGGTTTATTGGAAAGCCATGGAGACTAACTTTGACCATACAACGTTTTCCAGAGTACAAAGATCAGCCTGCATTGCAATTATAATGTAGAACGGAAGCCTTAAACATCAGCCATCATATGCTACTGGTTGAGTTATTTGTTAATCATTCTAGTACTTTTGTAGAGTGCCTGAGGTTGAGGGAACACGGTTTATGGAAAGACCTTACGTACGAGCACGGACAAAAATTGAATATCTCCACATCGAAAAATCGATTCGACCACCTAATTTGGTCAGTAGTTTTTCTGGCTGAAGGCTTTACTATCAGGGAGTCGTGTGAAACAGTTCTAGTCTCAAAACAAACCAGAACAAGCATTGTATCACCTCTAGCCTAACAACACAGACGCCTGTCTGGCTGACTCAAGAGCTCAAATATTGCTAAATATTATTGAGGAATTAAAGGCTTTTAAGGTCGTAAAAATAAGTTAGGTGCTTCCAGATCTGGGTGACGGTGCCGCATCTCTCAGCACTGGGAAAATATGACAGACGTTTTCTTGGCCTACCGTTAGGAGTTTGACGACAACGATTTATAGACGATAAGAAGTGTAGTTGGTGACCCACCTACTGCGTAAGACCGACTTCAGTGTTATTATCAAATTGGACATGGATTTGTCTCCAGCAAATCCCGTTTCATCAGCACACTGGGCGTATTTTGAGCGATATCCCGATAGTTATTTGGGAGCCTCTTCGACGGTTAGACGCAACCGACAAAGCAGACAGAAATTAAATTAAATGGTTCTTTATATTTTGCTTACGGCACTACTAAGAATCCAACCAAAGGTGACAAATAAAAAAAAAAATTATATTAATAGCCAAACAAGAATAGCCTAACAAGCGTTGGCGTGTCCAAAATATATTTTGCTAAACTTTACGTTATTTATTTTAAATAATTTGATCCAACTACAATGCAAGGTAAAAGGCAATAAAAAAAGGAAAAGGCAATAAAAAACTTACCCATAAAGCAACTCTTCCGTGTTAAACCCTAAATTGCTTTTCGCAGTCTGCTGCTCCGATTGGTGGTGCTGCTGCTGCTGCTGGCAAAGTGTGGCCAACCTATTAAGCAAAACGAGGCGCTTCGTGTCGCGTGTGTCACGGCAACATAGCGCCGTATAGATATCATAGGCATTCTCTGCATTGGATTTCTTTGGATCCAGCCGATAATCATCGTCGGGATCTTGTGGATCTGCAAAGGGAAAGAAATAAGAAAGAAATATGGCATTAGAAATATAATTTATTCTTCATGCGGCGCTACAAGTTTGTAGTGAACCTTAAAATCATGTACACTCATAAATTTATAGTAATTAAAAATACAAATAATAAAATATGAATGGAAATTACGGGAAATGCTCTTAATAAAAAGTAAACCATAAAATAGATTAAAAAATTGCATATAAAATATAAAATAATGGCCAATCGAATTTGTAAGAAAAACTAAATTAAATTAGTTTTCTTTTATCCAATTCTTTCCGCGGGAATCTTTTGTCAATAAGTGTAGTGCTACAGCCTTGTAAAAATAAAGCTGGAATGCCAGACAAATTTTTGGCGGATTCAGCAAAACACAAATAGAAACTTTTCCCATAACAAAATAAACTTTTTCCATAACAAAAGTTTATGGAAAATATAAGTAGTTTAACTTAGCTTGGCAAGAGACCACTCAGTGGTCACCACTGAACTGAAGAAGTGTGATGTTTTCTAATTTCAATAAAAAATAAAAAATAAAAATAAATAAAATCAATTGAAGAACATTGTTGGTAAAGTTTAAGACAGTTTCGGGGCTTTTTTTGTTTAATAGCATAGGTTAGATTAGGCTGGCTCCACAGAGATCATTAAAATTTTGACCAATTTTCAAAAGCTATTCTCTGGAAACCGGTTGCAATTTTGACGAATATCGTAGTGGAGCACTTGTTGTATCCTATTTTGGCAGCTGCCTCAAGAGACTAATCTGTAATCTGCTAAAGGTCCGACACTGTGCCTGCTGGTTCTGTGCAGATCATGCTTCCGGTTGATTGCATGAGTCTGTCGGCCTCCCCGTTGCCCGTAATGCCAGTAGGATGGACGCGTTATTATTTGTGCTTTAAGCACAGCAGCAGTTTTGAGCGCTATATGTATTTTTGGCCGATAGGTTCGCCGTTTTTCTGCTTCACAGCTGCCTACCAAACCAGTAGCCCAGGGAACAATATTGTCCTGCCAATCGCCGTGAAGGGAGCATCCGAAGAAATAATCCTACTCGGCCAAATTCGACGGCGAAATATCCAATACATGTTCGGGTCGTGAACGCTACTCTAACGACCTCAACCACCTCTTTACTTTTTTTAAGCGGTGGTAAGGTTTGCCTGGCCACAAGTGTACATATGTATGTACATATTTCCAAGCAGTAAAAAAAATCTAAGATATTGAATGACCACAAAAGTGTTGGGAATCCAAAAGCACTTCGAGGTGTGAAAGTTAATAAAAACAAAGAAATAACTTAACTTAAATTTCATTGGGGCATTGAACGTACATAGAAATTTAATACGGCACTAACCTACGACACAGATGACGCCCTTCCTTACCACATTCTATGTATGTATGTATGTATGTATGTATGAATACTGTATAAGGCTTGAGTTAAGCACAAGCGTTCAATACAAATGTACATAAATGCATGTACGCATCAAGAAGGGTTGGAAAGAAGTGCGTCCCTTCAACGCTCACGCATTTCCCGGCAACGACAATGCTTAACTTAACACGCACAAACACAGATAGCGCAAAAAATGCATTCATGGCAGCTTGTATGTATGCATGTAGGTGTGTGTGTGTGTGTGTGTGTGTGAAGAATGCATCCATTTATGTAGGTTGATTGTCTGAACCCAGACAGCAATTTATTCAAGAAATACGCACTGCAATACGGTTTGTCTACGCACTTGCTTGCTATACAAAAGCAGAAAGGCAACAAAAAAATTGCTGCATTTTTATACTTAATACACCGGAGAAATAGTGTGAATCCATATTGAGGACAACTGAAGTTGAGAAGGCGCACATGTCTACCGCATGCCTTTAATTCAATACTTGAGCTCTTAAATAGCGGTTGAGTATAAAATTTCATTTTCTGAATGGATATCGAGGATGTCACTGAAATGCGAGAAGGATATACATATGTATGTACATATGCACGAACATGTACCCCAATATATACATAAGTCTTTATTCATGGTATGGCCATAAACATAAACCACATACAATAATGGATTGATGAACGCTTAAGTTTAATTAACAGCTATGCCTCAAGTGTTGATGAAATAATTTCACACCTATGCACAGGAGTACAAAAACAATACGTACTAAGTTACAAAGTTTAATAAAAATGTGGTTCGTAGATCGTTAAGGGAGCTCATGAAATAGGCGAGCTTTTAAAAAATTCGCTCTCGAAAAGGCTTTCAGAGGCATTTAAATAATTGCCTCTATCGCAGAAGTCAATAATTCGGTACGACATTTCCGTGTACAGTTGTACACAAAACAATAGGAGTGCGATATTTAGTTATACAACAAACACCATATAAATTCAGATTTCAAACTTTGTACAAGAATTAAAAACATTTTGCAAATTTTCACCAAATTTCAAACTTTTTAATCAGAATCTTTAGAAAAAATTTTGGTATGTAGTTTTGTAGCACATTTAATGCTCTCTTCTAATGAAGTGCAAGTTTCAAATTGCTAAAAAATTCCGTTGATTTTTGGCAATTTTTTTTTTTGCTGGCAGTGTGCTCCATATAAACGAAAATTGTCGAACATACCTTGTATGGAAAAAACGTAAAACACCTTCAACCAGAAAAATTCTCAAAAATCAAGGGGATTTTTTTATCAACTTGAAACTTGCACTTTATTTACTAGAATTATTTAAATGGGCTACAAAACTGTTCACCACAATTTTTGCTAAGGATTCTGATTAAAAAGTTTGAAATTTTTATAATTTTTGTACAAAGTTTAAAATCTGAATGTAAATATATGGTGTTCGTTGTATAGCCAGATAGACTTTTATAAAAATATAATAATAAACAAAATATACTTATCACTTTTACTATTTTCTTGGCAACTGTATATTATCGCCGATGATATCGCTATTTTCACCAAGGCGTCACGTCACGTCTTTATGATACGAAAGTGATATTGCAATCGGAAGCAATTTCGATAGGAATGAAAGGAACTTGTACGATAAAGTCGGAAGCGCTAAACAAAAATTCATCGGAACGTTAAATATTTGATGAAACATAATGGGGGAAATTTTGGGATATCATCGAGCCGCAAAGTTACTTACACCATTTTCATTATTCTCTTTTCGGCATAGATTACAAGAATTTAAGAATTTATAGTAATAGCATATTTCCACCAAAAGCTTAACTGCAGTTAAGAGGTCAGGAAGGTTGCAACAATTTTCACATGGTGTGATCGGGAGGGTTTCATTCTTAATTTTTGCTTTTTTGCATGTTATTCGAAAATTATTGCTGGCACATTAATTGAAATGGCCAACAAACTGAGAAAATAATATAAATATTTTACTTGAAAGAACTTCCAAGATGTGCTTTGTTAATTTTCAAATCCTCAAAAAGTAAAAATCGTGCGAAAACTTGTTAAGAAAATAGAAAAGCGAAACCATTTCCTTTTTTTAGGGTTGTGAGAGCAGCTACTATTCGCTTATTAATTTCCAATAGCCAAAGTAGTGGCACCGTGGCGATAGACGAGAAAATTTTCATCCAATCGCTGGCAGGATTCAAATACAAGTATGCATAATATATGCAAGGTTAACAGACAATTGGGCCACCGGTACTTTGAAATTTCTTAGGTATTTTATAGCAAGAAAATGCAGTTTTTTTGTAGAAATGATATAAAATCGTTAAAAAAAAAATATAAATATTTTTTTATCGAATAATATTTCCCTTCAGAAATCTTATAAAAATAATATTTTGGTGCATATTAAAAAAGTACAATAAAATAAAAAATAAACATCGCCATTGAGCTGTTCGTGTGTGATGTGGTTACGAATACGTAAGATACTTAACAATTTTTTTTTTTATAAAGATGTAAGATTATCGGTTATTTATTGTGAAAGTAATATTCTTATTTGACCAAAAATATTTATTTTTTTTTTACAATTTAATAGCAATTCTACGAAAAATGTATTTTCCCCATGTAAAACACATAGAAAACTTCTTCCAAAACCCTTTTTTTTCATTTTCAATACATCTGTGTTGGGCGGCAGAAAAATTCCAAAACACAGAAATATTTTTTGTCCGTTTTTTTGGATCACCCTAATGTATAAGTATGCACCTCTAGCTTAATACGATTAGATCACAAAAGTGTGAAATTGGAGGTGTAAAATGTGGTAGCAAAAGATGAAATGAAAGCAGATCCAACCAAAAAATAAAGCAATTAAGATCGCCACAGCTGAACCGAGTACGTGTGCAATGAAACCACAATGCAGCTACTACATACATATGTTTGTATGTATGCATGTACATTATATAAACATATGCCCCACATAAATATGTACATATATATGTATGTAGAACGGCTTTTATAATTCCCCGATTATTCGACTGTTCGGTTAACCGATTAATCCATGTAGGTACTAGTTCTCGTGTGCAAGCTATTGACAGATGTGACAACGAAATTTAAAAGAAACTACAAAAAATTTAACAAATATTTTTGATTATTTAACCACACACATTTTGGAGTGCTTTGAAGCTCTGGTGTAATGTGGACAGTTAGCCGAATGATCGACAGCATTTGAGTCCTCGAATAGCGTCAACTAATTAATAGTAGTCGAATAATCAGCCTCATTGTGTAAGTCGCAAATTAGGCTAAATTGTACGACTCGACAACATTGGCATTGTCTACTGTCGTGCTGAAATAAATAAACGACGAAAATTGTCGAAAATTGTACAGTGCTGCCAAGTTTTTCCGTTTTTATACACTAGTCGAGTGGAAATTTTAGGCAATGACGTGAAATTTTCGATACGATTCGACTCTCGAAAAACGACTTGCATTCGACACGACTCGCGCAATGAGGGTGAATGTCAGCGGAATAACTCGTTTATCCATGTATGTGGGTATCAATTTCGTATTTTTTTAAACGCTAATGTCATTCTTACACTTATTGATATTTTTAATAACAATGTTTTAATTGTTGTTGAACTCGGTCCAATA